TTTCCATGTTTCAGTTTTCAGCATAATACTTATTCTCGCTTATTTATTTTGATCATCTGCCTCATCTATTGAGAGCAGGAGTGTGCCCTTATTGTTTGTTTAGCTTTGTATCTTTGATACCTAGAGCAATGTTTAGTACATAGTAGGTGCATAGCAGGTAAATATTGGAAATTTGATGAATGCATGATACCTCAATGCCTGAGCTCTTTATACCTTTCCAGCTGTTGGTAACCATAGGCTCACTGAATCATGTTTCTCCACAGATCACTCAGAACTGTGCTGTCCAGTACAGTAGCCACTAGCCACATGTAGCTATTTAAATATAAAATTAAGTTAAATTTAAAATTCAGTTTCTCCAGGGGCACCTGGGTAATGCAGTTGGTTGAGCAACCAACTCTTGGTTTCTGTTCAGGTCATGATCTCAGGGTCCCAGGATAGAGCCCTGCATCCCGGTTCTGGGCTGAGTGGCGTCTGCTTGAGACTCTCTCCCTCTTGCTCTGTCCCCCTCCTGCTCTGTCTCTCTCTCTCTTTCAAATAAATATTTAAAAAATAAAATCCTGTTCCTCCATTGCCCTAATCACATGTCAAGTGCTCACTAGCCACATGGGGGCTACCAGCCACCATATTGGACAGCACAGATAATAATTTTTATCATTACAGGAAGTTCTTGTTGGACAATGCTGATAGAGATTTTACAAATGGACTAGTCCCAAAGGGAGCCTTTAAGCCTTGAGTATAACGATAATTGCCTTTTGAAGTCTTGTTGCTCCAGAAAGGCTTCTGCACAAATTGCCCTATTTGACTGGACAAGTTTCTTTATCAAACAGGTGTTTCCAGGTCAGTTCATAATTTGAGGATCTCAGAAGTATACTACTTGGAACAAATAAAGCTTTTCATGATAAGCACATAAAAATGAACAGAGGGCAGCCCAGGTGGCTCAGCAGTTTAGTGCAGCCTTCAGCCCAGGGCCTGATCCTGGAGACCCGGGATCGAGTCCCATGTCAGGCTCCATGCATGGGGCCTACTTCTCCCTCTGCCTGTGTCTCTGCCTCTCTCTCTCTGTGTCTCTCATGAATAAATAAATAAAAATCTTTTTAAAAAGTGAACAGATACCTAGAAGAAGATCTAACACGGAACTATATAACTCTGTGCTGAGCAGAAGCATGGATGGGGGAAGTGTTGATACTGGGTTGGGGGAGGTGAAAGGTTTGTAGTCCTAGATATTAAACTAAATTAACTCTAAGGTATAATTCCTTTAAGGTGAACTGTTATGTCAGAAATTTAAATATAATTATAAGGTTATGAGGAACATAAAACAGACCAATATTAGGGCCCAGTTTATTAATGAGAATCTGAGATAAAATATTAGCAAACAGGATCCCAGAGGTACACTAAAAGAAAAATACAACAAGATAAAGTGTGGGTTTTTCCAGAAAAGTAAAGATAGTTTAGTATTAGGAAACTGATTTAGATAATTCATCAGGTTGATAGATTTAAGGAGAAAAGTAGTGCAATCAACTCTGCAAAGGCTTAAATGACATTTGTTTACTTCTAATAAAAATTCAATATCCATTGTTAATTTAAAACCTCGGTGAAACAGTAAGTGATGGATATTTTCTTAGCATAATAAAATAAACATATATATTACAATTCTTGCTGAATGGGGAAATACTAAAAGTATTCCCATTAAAATCAGGATCAAGACAGTAATGTTCATTAATGCTATGACCATTTAACATTGTTCAGAAAGTACTAGGCAATGTATTTAGACAAGATTAAAATGTATTAGATATATAAAAACTAGGCAATAGAGATTAATTTCATAGGATTTAAAGATGATAATCTAGAAGAATCAACTATTAAAGATGATAAGAGAATTCAGTAGATAGCCAGGTAAAAAAAAAAATAAGTCAGAAAAGATCCTGTTTCTGTAGCATTTACAAAGATAAAACACCTAGGAATGAGCTTAACAAGAAATACTCAAGATCTATACATATTTCTTAAATTAAACATTAAAACACTACTGAGACACACAAAAGGAATCAATACACAGAAAGTCATCATGTTCTTGAAAGGAAGGCTAGCATGAGGAAGATGTTAGCTCTCTCTGAATAATCTATAAATCTGGTGCAATCTCAATATGAATACCAATAGAAGTTTTTTTGGGGGGAAGGGTACTAAAGATGCTGATCTTAAAGTTCATTTGGAAAAAGAAATAAGAAAACATAGTTGAGATGAACGGGAGAATGAGGTAATTGGGCAATGGGCACTAAGGAGGGCATGTGATGTGATGAGCACTGGGTGCTATATGCAACTGATGAATTATTGAAACTACATCTGAAATTAATGATGTACTATATGCTGGCAAATTGAACTTAAAAAAAGAAATTCTGGAAACATTCTGGAAAAGGAGATAAAAAGGACCTCTAATAGATATTAAAATAGATATTAAAATAAAGCTAAATTAATTGAAAAACTGTGGGTGCTGGCAGGTAAAAAAGATCATAAGAGGAGACCTGAAAATCCAGAAGTAAATTCAAGTTCTTACACATATTTGGTTTATGAAAATGACAGTGTTTCCAATTAATGAAGAAAAAAAACCATTGTTTAATAGGTGATTTCAGGGGTAGCAAGATAACATGTGGAAATTTTCCAATAGAAAAGTGATAAGGAGGGCAGCCCCAGTGGCACAGCGGTTTGGTGTCGCCTGCAGCCCGGGGTGTGATCCTGGAGACCCGGAATCGAGTCCCACGTCAGGCTCCCTGCATGGAGCCTGCTTCTCCCTTTGCCTGTTGTCTCTACCTCTCTCTCAATCTGTGTCTCTCATGAAAAAATAAATAAAATCTTAAAAAAAATGATAAGGGAGATGAACAGACAGTGGAGATTAAACTACAAATGACTCTTTAACATAATGAAAATGTTTTCTCGTAATAAGATGAAAAAGTTCAGTCACAATAAGAAATGCAAATAAAAATTACACTGATATAACCTTTTTCACCTTTCAGATTAGCAAAACTCAAAATGTTTGATAACACACCAAAGTTGGTGTTTGCATATCGAAATGGACACTCTTAAAAAATAGGCATCCCTGAGTGGCTCAGTGGTTTAGCGCCTGCCTTCCACCCAGGGTGTGATCCTGGAGACCCAGCATCAAGTCCCACGTCGGGCTCCCTGCATGGAGCCTGCTTCTCCCTCTGCCTGTGTTTCTGCCTCTCTCTCTCACTCTCTATGTCTCTCATGAATAAGTAAATAAAATTTAAAAAAAGTTTTTAAAAAAATAGCTAATGTTCAGTCTCTATGGAGGGCAATTTGGCAATATTTACCAAAACAAAATATACCTACATTTGACCCCTTATTTTATTTTATTTATTTTATGATATTATTTATTTATTCATGAGAGACACACAGAGAGAGAGGCAGAGACACAGGCAAAGGGAGGAGAAACAGGCTCCATGTAGGGAGCCCGATGCGGGACTCTATCCCAGAACCCTGGGATCACATCCTGAGCTGAAGGCAGATGCTCAACTGCTGAGCCACCCAGGTGTCCCACTGACTCCCAATTTTCTTTCTAGCAATTTTATTTTTTTTTATTTTTTATTTTTTATTTATGATAGTCACAGAGAGAGAGAGAGAGGCAGATACATAGGCAGAGGGAGAAGCAGGCTCCATGCACCGGGAGCCCGACGTGGGATTCGATCCCAGGGCTCCAGGACCGCGCCCTGGGCCAAAGGCAGGCGCCAAACCGCTGCACCACCCAGGGATCCCCATCTTTCTAGCAATTTTAAAAAAGATTTTTAATGTATTTATTTGAGAGAGAGAGAGAGAGAGAACGAGCCAGGGGGAGGGATAGAGGGAGAAAGAGAAGCAGATTCCCTGCTGAGCAGGGTGTCTGCCACCAAAGTGGGGCTCAATCCCAGGACCTGGAGATCATGACCTGAGCTGAAAGCAGACACTTCATTGACTGAGCCACCCAGGCGCCTCTCTAGCAAATTTTTTTTTAAGATTTTGTTTATTTATTCATGAGAGATACAGAGAGAGAGGCAGAGACACAGGCAGAGAGAGAGAGGTAGGCTCCATGCAGGGAGCCTGACGTGGGTCTCAATCCTGGGTCTCCAGGATCACACCCTGGGCTGAAGGCAGGTGCAAAACTGTTGAGCCACCCAGGCGTCCCTCTAGCAATTTTTTGATAGCAATACTCCCACATGTACAAAATGACATATATTATTATTGTGGAACTTTTTTAAAAAAAGAGATTTATTTATTTATTTATTTGAGAGAGAGAGAGAATGCATGCAAGATGGGGAGGGGCAGAGGAAGAGGGAGAAAGAGAATCTCAAGCAGACTCTCTGCTGAGCATAGAGCCCAATTCAAGGTTGTATCTCACAATCCTGAGATCATAACCTGAGCTGAAACAAGAGTTGGACACTCAACCAACTGAACCACCCAGTCACCCCTGGAATTGGTTTTAGTGGTAAAGGTTGGAAATTAATTAAAAAGCCTCAAAGGGATCTAGTTAAATGGGGCAGCCATGTAATGGGATACTATACAGATGCAGATACACAAATTAAGGAGGGAGCTTTTTGATACTGGTATGGAATTATGGCCAAGGTATTTTGATAAATGAAAAAGGCAATGGGAAGGATATACAGAGAATGTGCTGCCATTTGTGGAAAAAAAGGAGGAATATATATACATATATATATACATATATGTATATATATTTGTAGTATTTGTATATATTTGTCAATGACTTCTGAAAAAGCATCAGAAACAGTAACATTGATTGCTTCCACGGAGGGTACTTTGGTGGTTGAGTGTCAGGAGTGGAAGAGAAACATTTCACCATTTACTGTTTGATATTTTCTGAATTTTGAGCCATATGAATAAATTACCCACCCAAAGAAAGAAAATGAAGTTAAAACTAAAAAGAAAAAGAAAACTTACACTGATTTACACAAAAAAAGAATATCTCATGAACCATATTCTTTTTTTTCTTCCAGGACCTCCATCCTCAGAAGACTGGCTTTTTATCTCTGTGGCCCCTTCTCATGATAGCAAGATGGCTGCCACAGCTCAAGCTTAGCTTCCTTACTGGCCTCCCTGCACCTATGCTGTCATTGGTTGGACTCAGTGTTGGCTTTGTCCTCCATGTGATATAGGAGTGGTGTTCTCAAAGATAACATATGGGGGGTTAGCTGGATTCGACTTAATTGTCCCATTATCAGCTACTCTTGTATCTGGTTCTTTCTTTCTTTCAAGATTTTATTTATTTATTCATGAGAGATACAGAGAGAGAGAGAGAGAGGCAGACACACAGGCAGAAGGAGAAGCAGGCTCCATGCAGGGAGTCTGATGTGGGACTCAATCCTGGGTCCCCAGGATCACGCCCTGGGTGGAAGGCAGGCGCTAAACCACTGAGCCACTCAGGTATCCCGTTTCTTTTGAAGACAACAATCAAGGGAGTGCCTGGGTGGCTTAGTCAGTTTAGCATCTGACTCTTGGGTTCAATTCAGGTGATGATCTGAGATGGAGCCCAGCATCGGGCTGGTGCTCAGTGCAGAGTCTGCTTGTCCCTCTCCCTCTGCTCTCTCTTCCTCTCTTATATATATATAAAAAAAGATTAGGACACTGACATATAGGAGATAAGACCACCTGAAGACACAGGGGGAAGACAGCTATTGGCAAACCAAGGAGAGAGGCCTCCGAAGAAACCAACCTGCTGACACCTTGATCTTGGACTACTGGCCTCCAGAACTGTGAGAAAATAATTTTCTGTTCTTGAAGCCTTCCAGCTTGCAGTGCTTTGTGAGGGCAGCCCTAAAATTAACACAGGCTGGTATCATCCTAGATGTGAAGGGTGTCACCTGGGACTGGGCCTTGGCACCATTTCCTTAAAAAAAGGTTTCCTCCTTTTATTTTGCTGAAAATTGAAGAAATTTTTTTTTATCTAAATGCATTGGAACAATGATTAAGGATTCATGTGGTCTGGGTCTGGCATACTGGAAGAGTGGAGGGATTAACTCTAAAGATACAGTTCACTATAACTTCCTTTTTTTTAAGCAATTTTTTTAGGATTTTTTTTTTTGAGAGAGAGAAAATGAACAGGAGGAGGGGCAGAGGGAGAAGCAGACGCCCCACTGAGCAGAGAGACTGACGAGGGGCTTGATCTCAGGACCCCGACTCAATCGCAGGACTGCAGCTCCATCCCAGGACCCTGGGATCCTGACCTGAGCAAAGGCAGATGCTTAACTGACTGAGCCACCCAGACATCCCAAGGCTTACTTCTTAATAAAGGAGTTTGGATCTAATACTCTCATGGTCAGCCTTAAATAACCCAACCACTCAGATGGATCGGACGGCTCCTGCAGCATGTGTTTTATAGCCACACCATCTTGATGAGCCCCAGTGACAGAGTTCTTAACATCAGACCCAGATGGTGACCTTTTATGGAAGGAGAAGGCGGCTGCCTGTGGCTTTCCTCACAATCCTTCACGTTCAGGTTGTCTCTACCAGGCGGCGAGGCTGATAAATTCTGAGGCCCAAACATTTCCTAATCCTAATCAAAGAGCTTGAGAAGATTTAAAGTTCTTTTTCTGGGGGAAAAAAATAAGAGAAAAAAGAATAATAAACAAGTAAAAATCCTAGGTGCCCCTTCTTAGTTGAAGGAGATCGGCCTGGATCTCTTCACTGTCTGAATGTGAGTGTGATCTCTCACATTTTATGTCTAAAGTGCACATCTTTCCCTTTGATCAGCCTTGTGGAAAGAGCATGCTTTCACTTTGCATTGTGGTTGGCGGTGTGAGAGTTGGCCACGACTGAATGCCCACAGGACATGAAGAAGTCTGATTATTTGAGAAAACCAGCCCTTTTTGTTGTTGCTGTTGTTTTTACCTGTTCAGAGTTCTGTAAGGGTGTGGTGTGTGAAGTTTTTATCTAAGAGGCCTCTGGAGCCTGACGGACTGGGTGCCAATCCAGCTTTGCCATTGGCAGCTGAACTGGGCAAGTCACTTGCCCTCTCTGTGGCTCAGTTTCCCCATTTGTTCAACAAAAATAGTAAAAGTCTCTATCCCAGGGAGATGTGGTAAGGATCACCTAGGTTAATATTGCAAAGGCTTTAGAACACTGGCTGTTACCTTGTCAGCCCTGGAATAGTGTTTTTATGTGAATCCGTAGAAAATAAGTGATCTAGGTCTTATCTCCTCTTTATTTGCATGTGGTTACAATTTATAAATACACTTGCTGTTTTCCTCCCCCTCCAAAACTCTCCCTTCTCCCTAGTAACTGTATCCAAATCCCCAGTGTTTAATGACTCCTTTTCTTGTCTGGGAGGAGAGGGGAGGGGTGGTCCTCCACATAATCTGTCTTCATGCAAGGGTCTACTTCAGTCCATGTGAAGTGTGGGCTCTCAAAGGGCCTCTGAAGCTGGGGGATGAACACCACGAGTCTGCTGCAGGTCCCACTGATGTCCTTGCAAGTGACCACGTGGCTGGCATCCTTCTGTGCCACACTGAGAGTTCAGAGTGTCATGATGGGCAGCAGTTAGCATCATATGTCCTGTCCGTGCTGGAAGCTGAGCTGCCACAGCCCCAGTGGGCAGAAGGGTCTGCAATGAAGTCTCAGGCCTGCTCAGATGGTGGCAAGAGTCTGGTAGCAGGTACATGCGCAGCTAGTGGCCAGCCCTGCTCTCGGAGATGCGTCTGAGGCCTGGCCCCTTGGGGTCTGCCTCTCAGGGGCCCTGCCCAGGCCCTCTGTCAATCCCATGTGGGTAGGGCAGCCTCAGGGGTAAGGTGTTCTCGCACCTGCCTTCTCCTGGCTTTTCCCAGACACTAAGAGGCATGGGTGTCAAGTTGGGTCCTTGTCCCTGTTAGAGGGCATGGCACCCCAGGGTCTCTGTTTCAGCCAGGTGCCAAGCTTTGCCATCCTCCTGGTAGGGTGTAGAGAGCCCAGGAGGGCCAGGGGCACCCTCTTCAGGGGTGGGGTATGGAGGCTCTGGGGAAGCAGGGGGGTCTCCAGGGCCTCGTGCTCCCCCCAGTACGGGCCCATTGTAGATGTAGATGTTGCCAGTCACAGTCACAGACCCGCCGGTGACGTGAATGCCATTGGTACCTGTGGGAGGGAGGCAGAGTGAGAGGGGCTAATGGTGTTTAGTCTTACTCTCTTTTAGTCTTCTCATTTCTGTCTGGCTCACATTCTTCTCCTGCCAACTGTCCCTCCCTTCCCATCTTTCCTTCCCTGCCCCCTCTTCTCCCTGCCTCCTGCCCTAGGCTTACCGTGGGCCACCTGGCCTTGTTCTGGGAACTCAGGCTCCAGCTCTCTGGCCTGGCTGAGAGGACTCTGCTGCTGTAGCATCTCTTCCTCCAGACTTGGGGGTGCTGGGAGTCTGGCTGAGGCTGAGGCCAAGTCTCCAGAGAAGGGTAGAAGAGGCTTTACCAGGTCCGGGAAATGTGGATTGACCCTAGGAGGCTCCCAGCTTCCGTCAGCAGTATTTGATTCCTCTCCCTGTAGGAGAAAGGTAGAGAACCAACCAATGATGTGGGCCTCAGACCCCCATCTTTCTTTAATCCCCACACCCCACTCCATGCTTAGGCAGCTCACTGTTCTCCTCTGTTCCACTTTATGCTCCCTGCCACAGGGCCTTTGCACTCGATGTCCCTCCTCCCGACACTTTCCCCTAGATATTGTGATGGTTGGCTCCCTTATTTCTTCAGCTCTCTGCTCAAATATTAGTTCATCAGAGAGGCCCTCTCTGCCCACTCTAAGAAAAATATACCCCCACCCTTTGCCACCGTCCCCCCTACCATGTTTTATTAGCCACTATCACCCCCTGATTCATTTAACTTTATTCTTGCTCCCCTGGCCTATAACTCTGGGAGGGCAGGTACTTTGTTTCAGTCACTGCTATATCCATGGTGCCCAGAATGGTGCCTGGCACATGGTAGGCTCAATCAATCATTAGTTGAATGGATGCTGAAGCCTGCACACTCTTATCCTGCCTACCCCACCCTGTTCACTTATGCCTGCCCGCCCCTCCTTATGCCTCTTCAGCCTTCCCCGTTACCTCTGGACGCCTTTTGAGCAGGGATCCTGTAATAGAAAATGAAATGAGGGTCAGGCCTCCAGTAGGCCTGGGCCGCTGCTGGGGCTTTTACCCTTCACACCCTGCTGTGGCGTTTGCTCCCCACCCTGGGTTCCCAGAAGGAACGAGCTATCATTGTCCTTATTTTCAGCCTCCAAAAGAGGGACAGGGTGGACAGAATGTCTGTGCTGGGGGCAAGCATCTCGAGTCTTCGGGGTGTGGATGGGCCGAAGGGTTGGCACTGGGGAAGCTGACTGTTCCTCCCACCCCAAACTCCCTCCCTCATTCAGGTGGGGACAGCCAGCTGGCCAGGCCCACTGCCCTGCTGGTACCCAGCTCCTTCCTACCCAGCTTCCTGCAGAGAGAGGGGTGGTTCTTCCAGGTGCAGGCCAGGACCGTGGTGAGGAAGAGGAAAGAGGCCAGTGGCAGCAGGATAGCCAGCACCATCACAGTTCCTGGGGGGATAGCAGACAGGAGAGCTGTGGTGACATGGGGTGGGAAGGGCAGAGGCAGGAGGGAAGCTAAGGACCAGCTTTCTAGTTCTCTGGGTGACCCACAGAAAAGGGCAGCACAGCTTTTCCCATCTAGACCCACTGTGGTTCCTAAAGGCAGTTAGAGAAGCTGCCCTTGGGTTACAGAGAAGAGGAGCCAAGTTGGACTTGGGGAGGACCCCCTGGCAGCCAGCAGAAACTCTGTCATGGATGGAGGTTTTTTGGGGGTGGTTCTGGTGGCCTGTGGGTGAGAACAGGAGTGTGCACAGGTGGTTTTCCAGGGCTGGAAGAGGGTTGCTGGGGTGGGTGGCGGGGCAGGAACGCTGGGGCTTGGGTTTGTAAGCAGACTCAGCACAGGGACATGTTTCTGTGGACATGACCATCTTAGAGACAGGCCACTGTAGGAGCTGGGATTGCCCCTCTGTCTCTGTGGGGGTGTTTATGGGGGTGGGAGAGGAGGGGCTGCAAGGTCTCCACCCCCTTGCTCAGGGCAGGTTCCAGGGCAGGGAGTTGGAAGGGAGGCTGGGAGTTGGGGTTCTCAGGTTCTGGTATGTAGCAGTGGATAATTCCTGTCTGTCTGCCTTTCTTTTAAAGATTTAATTTATTTATTCATAAGAGACAGAGAGAGAGGCAGAGACATAGGCAGAAGGAGAAGCAGGCTCTCTGAAGGGAGCCTGATGTGGGACTCCATCCCAGGGCCCTGGGATCATGACCTGAGCCAAAGGCAGATGCTCAACCACGGATCCACCCTGAAGCCCTAATTCCTGTCTTTCATAGCAGAGTCTACAGCACCCATTAAGTGTGCCTAGGCAAAGTCAGGAACACTTGGACATGTGCATACTGGGAGCTTGTCCTTTCTGATCCACCTAAATCTGGGGCCTGAGGGAGGGCAGAGTGGGAGGCATGGGAAAAAACTGGACCTGGAGTCAGAGACATCTGGGTCCTGGCCCAAGTGGATGACTATGTAAGTCATTCTACCTCTTGGAGCATCAATTTATTCAAAAATAAAATGAAGGGGTGAGGTACATATGATCTAAAATTCCAGCTCTAGAGTGCCAATTGTATTTGATACATCATTAAAAAGTAACAAAAGGACATGGAAAAAGATTTGATATATTTGAATGAAAAATCAAGTTACAAAATATTCAAATGACTCCACTTCTGGGAAAACAATTAGATGTGTAGACATACATAGAAAAATGTCTGGAGGATATATTAAAAAATATTAAGAGTTGGATAATGCTAAGTGATGATCCTGTGGATGATTTTTAGTTTTGTTTCTCTGAGTTTTCTTTTTTTCTTTTTTTTCTCTTTTAAAGATCTTTATTATTATGAGAGAGAGAGAGAGAGTGAGTGAGTGCCAGCAAGAGACAGAGAGAGCATGAGCATGGGGGCGGGGGAGGGGTTGCAGAGGGAGAAGCAGGCTCCCCACTGAGCTCGGGGCTGGATCCCAGGACTCCAGGATCCTGACCTGAGCCTAAGCCAAAGGCAGACGATTAACCAGCTGAGCCACCCAGGCTCCCCATGAATTTTCTAATTTTCTAGAGGTGTGCGTGCATTCTGGCATGGGGTCTGGAATAAGAAAGAACCGAGAAGAGATCTTCATAATACCAGTTACCACGTGGGTGATCTGGGGCAAGTCACATAAACTCTACTGAGCCTCCTCCCCTCAGTGAGGATAATAATAGAACTACAGTTGACCCTTGAACAACATGGGGGTTAGGAGCACTGACCCGCGTGCAGTTGAAAATCCATGTATAACTATTGATTCCCAAAAAGTCTTAACAGCAAATAGCCTACTGTTGGCCATAAGCCCTACCAGTAACATGGTTGAGTAGCACATATTTTGTATGTCATGCATGTATTTGTATACTGTGTTAAAGCGAGAGCAAAGAAAATGTTATTAAGAAAATCATAAGAGAAAATATATTTATAGAACTGTGCTGTATTTATTGAAAAAAAGCCACATGCAAGTGGGCCCGCGCAGTTAAAGCCAGTATTGTCCAAGGGTCAGTTGTACTTTCTAGGGTC